GTTTTGCTTGTTAAAAGACCAAGACAGTCTCAAGTTTTGGCTATCGATTGGTGAAAACCGCAAGTGTCTGTCTTTATTTGATGCTCAGTTATTCAAAAAATAGTCAAGTATCTAAGTTCTTTTGACACACAGTAGTTAGCTTGCTATTTCATGTTGGAATTCTGATCTCACTTCGTTCGGTTAAGAATCATTCCTGTCATAACTAGGTGATAACAACTGGGCAAATTCGTAATTTGCTTGAACTACAATCTCAGCTCTGACAGATGTCGGAGATACTTCTGAACAGAACAGTAGCGAAACGAAATCTGTAAATATCATGATCGTTACAAGTAGCCTTAGGCTATATTAATATTTAAAAAATTGTTAAAGGATGTATTTACGTTATATACCTTCAACACCGCGAAAATAAAAACAATCGGTATTAAAGAAAGTTACTGCAGAAAACCTACAAAAATGTCGCGTTTTTCGGAAAAAGACTTAATGAGAGCATTTTCTAGAACTCGTTCGCAACTCATACCGCGAAGTTCTGCCTTGTAGTGATTCTGCTAATTCTTGCTGGGATCTGTCCAAACGGTGATTGTGCTCGCCAGGTGACAAAAGTTAAAGCAGTTTAACAACAGTTCAACAATTCTCGAAATTATTACTCTGAAATCCATATTATACCGAAAGAAATCTAGACAATCTGCTTTTAGGGTTCCGTGGGTCTCCTCTTCATATGGCTAACATTATTATCTTATGTAAGATATATTCCATGGCTGAGTATGGGTTTATATGTCGTTATGCTTCAAGTGATATTTATTAAATTTTTAAAATTGATTCCTGTTTTGATGATACTGATATGCGGTTTTGGTTTAAGTTATTACATGTTGTTACAATATCAACCTGTCTATGGTACACCGTTTGAAGCACTAATGCGTACAAGTCTCATGTTATTTGAGTTAGGTTATGAAGATCGACTCTACTCGAGTGACAAAAATGGTGTAATGTATTATCCTGTTATATATTTTATATTTATATTAACAGCCATCGTAATGACAATATTAATAACAAACTTATTGATTGGTTTAGCTGTTGGTGAAATACCAACTTTAAAAACACAAGCAAAATTACATCGCGATATTATGTTATATGAATTATTATCAGATTATGAAATATTACATTTACAAATAAAACGTTTATATCGTTTTTTGATTAAATATTGTCTATGTCAGTGTTGTTGTTTATTTTCATTAGAATGTTATAAACGATGTTGTCCACATTGTACGGTAAGCTATCAAGATTATGACAAACAATATCTTCCAATATATTATCCAACATTTTGGATGTGTAAAGTGCATTCTCGATCAGCGATTGAGGTTAATCAAGATCCACAACAAGCATGGTTTGGTAAACGTTGGTGGACTTGGCTGGAAACAAGATTTACCGAAAATGACATACAAGAGTCAATTGTGTATGAAAAACAGTATAAAGGAATGCATAAACAAAATCAGGATGGATTTGATGAATAAAATATTTCATGACAACTAGTAAACGGTAGTCTGTTTTTGACTTTTATAACAAATATTCCGCGTTTGACGAAGAAAAATAATATCCACTAATTCTCAACAATACGAGTTTCATAAAGCTATGGTACAATGAGACGTTGCTCTTCGTTTGGAAAGAAAAAAGCAAGTTAGTTTGCTGTTTTACACCAAACCACTGGTACTTCTGGAGTTTGTTTTTGTAACGTTTATCCGCCATTTGATTGTTTCAAAGCACAGAAACATATTCTTGGCAAAAAATATCTCAACAAATCGTAGAATTTTGTATTTTTCCGGTTTCTGCTGATTCGAACACGAAAAAGGAATTCTAAAGTTTCCCATCTCACTATATTTCTATGAACCACCTTTTGTCTTTGTAGCAGAACAATAAATTAGACCTGTAAAGTTCGCGGTTTGTGTCCTGTGCCTAACGAAGTCGTAGCCGAAAAAAGTTGTTAAATCTGACAAAACGTATGCGTTTTAGGCTTTCGGGAATGGAAATGTATTTGCCGGAGCGATGCGAAATCCTGATTTAATACACACTTTCTAATAGGCACGGTAACAGCATTCCCGTCTCTCATCGTTTTTAGTTTTCTAATATCTCTTTCTTAAATTCTGAAATATTTTCTTTATTTACTGATCGTGGGATTCCAACAGCAATGTTGTTTCACAATGTCGTTTCAAAACAATTATATTAAATGAACAGCGTAACATAGAACGTTGCGGCGTTCAACGATCAAAAGCAAACACCTGAGGCTAGTTCTCCACAATCAAAAAGAGTTGTTGAAAAATATTTTGAAGCAGATTTTTCAGCGGGTGTTTGGAAAACCAGTTTCGATCTCTAAAAACTGATATTGAAATAGGTCAATCATTTCCACAGACATATAGTTCGAAGTGTCCTCTACAAAAGTGAGTTCAAGCGGGATCTTGAAAATCCACGGTTCGGGAGCTATGGGCGTTTTTCCTTAAGCCTTAGGACTCCTCTGCCGTTTGGTTTGAGACTATCAGAAATGAATGTAAACATAGGTTGTCGACTATGCTGAATCTCGCAGAAATGTCAGTTTCCCGAAAGAACTGCAAGGACCGAGTGAAAACCTTTACTAAATGAATAACGCAGTCACAATTCATCCAACCTCTTGAGAATGTCAGGAAATATAGAAGTAAGTAGTCCTTATCTTTTCTTCTTTTCTCACATGTTTGGCGGTGGGCGTAGCTTTAGAGAAACATATGAAAATATCATACAAAAGTTTGATAAGATTCCAGAGATATAACTTATCATATGAAATGTGTTTCGGTATCTCACCAACGCGTGAACGATATCCATTTTGTTCTTTTCCTTCGAAGTACATTGCGTATTCGATGCATAAAACAGCAAATACTGAATATTTACCTATTTCTATAGCGTCAGCAATAGAAAACTTCTCACTCAAGAAAAACATTAGAACGGATACATTCTGATGTTTAGAAATGCAATTAAAAAGAACAGATAAATAATAATGTGCCTCTGCAGCCTCGATTAATAATGAATAATAAAAGGCACACATCATGTTAATAATTTCGTTGTTTGATTGACATCTCACTTCATGATTTAATGAACAGATGTTATTGTGTGCGTGTACGTCTTTTTTTAATTAATATTGCACATTTTTGAAGAAAGAACGAACGGAAGGATGGATACAATAAGTAAAATTTTTATTTACTAAACATTTTCCGTCGATTTCATACGTGTTTTTATAAGTAGCATTTTTTGAACTCTATATACGTCACAATAACCTGTTACTTCTCCTAATTGTGTCTTATTTTCTTTGCTGGATAAAAAAAGAATTCGTATTTACCTTATCCTCTACCTATCTTACATGCTAAAGTGGTAGAATGCTAGAAAAGCTTCTACGTCTTCGTTTTTGTAAATAAAGTATTCTATAACCTCGTTTGATAATGCAATGTTTTCGACGTCGTCAGTGTTCCTGGTATAATGGCATACAACAAGTATCACCATAGAAGACAACGTCAACAGCTCGGTCAGTGAAACATCAACGATGTATGAAATGGGCAAAGATCTGCAGTGGAGCATTGATATCAATTATGATCGGTATATTCACCGTCGTTACCACACTTCAACATGGTGCTCTAGCAAAACTGCAGTATGAACAAAAACAACAGTTCTCGGAAAGACAATATGAGCAAAGTCGCGAACAATCTGTCGATTCACAACGAGAAACTATGTTTACATCTTACATTGAAGACATATCGAAAATGTTACATACAACAAGTATCACAATAGAAGACTTGCGATAGATGCGTACACGAACATTGACTGATCGTGGTACGTGTGGTTATAGTATAGACCTTCAGTGTATCAATTGACAGCTATGCTCATGATATAACACGATGTGCAAGAAAAAAGAAAAGCTGCTCATCTGTCTCAGATATTTTCCACAACATTCCTCAAAAATACGACAGTTTCCCAAAAACTTTGTCATTTCGAGTAGGATCAAAGATCACTTTGACTACATTTGGATCGGATTACTATTTTTTTTCCTGTTGACCAATAACTTCAGTACTAAGAGTTTGGTTAGGCGAGTCCAGTGTGAAATGTTATCAATTTCTGAGATATGTTTAGTGTCCATCATTAACATCTCAAGAAAACATTATTGGTTGGGCACATGACCAAATAGTGTCAGAGAGAGTGAATTACCATCCTTACTTACCACCTGTATCCAAGGAGTTTGGTAATAAAAAGTAAACAGGGTTACCAATTCTTCAATGTTTTTTATTTTTTTGTTTGCTTTTACTCCGTATTTCTTGTGACTATTTTCTATGTACCGTAAATGATTGAGTGAAAGTTGTTGACCAAAAAAGAAAAACTGTCACCAGTTCTAAGAATGTTAAAATTCTTAAATATTATCATAGCAGAAAGAATTTTGTGTCTTGTTGGAAACATGTGAGCCGAAGTCCACTTTCTTAACAGTATCAGATTTGAATATTTTCTATTATGAGATACTGTCAAATTAAATTGTTGATAAAGTTCTCTCCGTTGTATTGATCGTGGTTTAGCTAATTCTGGTGAATATAGGTAACAATATTTATTTGATGTCCTTCAAGAGCTTTAATTGCAGCTAACATTGCAACAATTGTTGTTTTACCTTCATCAGTATTTATTTGTGAAAGACATCCGGTACCATTTTCAGGATTCATCATAATTAACACGGATAATAATTGAATCTCTCTTGACGGAAATTTACTCATAATTTCGACAGCTCTTTTTACAACTGCAACCACATCATATTGATTAACAGAATTCGATGATGATGATGACATTGGCAATTTTTTAACCACTTCACTCCATTCTTTTATGTTTATTGTTGATCATTTTTTAATTAAATCAAAATTTGAACAAATTTTAGATTTACTTTCGTATGCAATTGTAACTTTTTCATATTCTTCTGTTCATTTTTTATCTTATAAAAATGAAATTTTCTGATCAAAATTTAAATCCAATATGTCCGCTTTTAATTGTTCAAAATTTTTATCATAAGTATCGTTAAATGTTTGAAATGTTGCCAAATCATGTACTTGTTTTGTTAAATTTTCTGAGAAAAATGATGATGATGTTAAAATATCAATTAAATGTTTTCCTTTTATATTATTGTCAAATTCTTTTAAATTATATTTATAAATTGGTTCTAATGCATTGAATAAAGTTTCAAGTGTCTCTTTCTAATTAATATGATCAATTAATTGTTTTATGGATTTTATTGACCAACCAGAATATAAAACGTTTGTTAATTTTTTATGTTGTTAATTTATTAACCATTTCACATTCATTTATGTCAATTATTTTTTGACTTTTAATCAATTGACTATCATTCTTTTTATTTAAATCTAAATTCATACGTAAAATTTGTTTATTAAATTTTCATTTATTTCAACCCAAAGTTCATCTAAAAGTTTTTCAATTTCATTATGTGTTAATTTCTTTATTAAGTCATTTGGATTGATTGTTTTTCTTTATTTTGATTAAGAATTGTTAATTTTTGATCTAATATTTTTATGATATTTTTTTCTATTGAATAAAGTTCTTTGATTCCTAATACGTTTGTAATTTTTCTCTTCAGTTCACCATCCTAACAAAAATCAACGCATTATCCGAGGGTGTGTGTACTGCTTCAACTACGTACAAATACTGATAATCTTTTTTTTTCAATAAATTTTCTTCTTTTGGTAAACAAAATGATATTCGTAATCCATTTTCAAATTTACTTTTTTCGTCAATTATTTGTTAAATAATAAATTATTAACTTTGGAACTTCGAAAAACGTTTTTACTCAGAGTTTTTCCACAGATACTTTATTCGATGCAGAATTTTAATGCTGTTCGCGAATATCAGGTCAAAACTGGAAAATAGTTAAGTTTTGATCGAAAAAAATTGATTTACTGACAGATGGGTCGGCGACCTGGTTCATTAAAAGCAGGTTTTTTTTTTTGGAAAAACCAGATTTTTCCAAAATGGCTAAACACTGGAAAAGCATTTTACCATCTTCTGATAGAGCATTGAAAACTGCATACATCTACGTTATTCCGGTAATGCTACCTCTTATCCTATTGGCGGAAAAGTCAAATGACGCGGTTCAAGCGAATTTCTGTTCCATACCGGAAAACTGGGGCATTTTTGAGTATATCTAGGGCGTTTCGGAGGTTTCCGTACTAAATCCAAAGAAAAAAACCCTGCTTTTAATGAACCAGATCGCTGACCCCATCTGTCAGTAAAATCGATCTTTTTCGATCAAAACTTAACTATTTTCCAGTTTTGACCTGATATTCGCGAATAGCATTAAAATTCTGCATCGAATAAAGTATCTGTAGAAAAACTCTGAGTAAAAACGTTTTTCAATGTTCCAAAGTTGGGATAGGGGCTTCAAATTTTCCGAAAAATTGGAAATGGTTTTTCCAAGGTGCCATGTACCTCATTCGACGCAGAATCTCACGCTGATTCTGAATATGTAACTCTTGTTCAGAAATATCAATGGAAAATTCTGACCGTTATAAGCCCCCGTTCTTTGTCAATAAATGACGAAAAGTTTTTTTTATTAGATAATTTTTCTACCATATGTTTCATATATGCTAAAGCAAATACTCCACAATTGTAATCATCAAATTGATCGCAAGAGCGATGAAATTTAAATTCAACATTTTTTAATTCATCTATTAAAAATTTTCGTACTTATTCTGTTTCTTCAATGAGATTATTTTCACGCAATGAATCTTTGTACAATGCAATGCGTTCTTGTTTACTTTTATTAAAAATTAATGCGAAAGGTATCCCATGAATACCAGCAATATTCAGTGGAACAATTGTCAACTTTTCATCTTGTTTATATTCGTTTAATAGTTCAATTAAAATTGTTGATAAATTTCTGTCATCTTGTTGACCTACTGATCGAATTATTCGAATATTTTGATCACAAAATTGTTTCATCCAGTCTCCTGATATTTGTGCAATATCTTCTACATTATACCAATATGTTGTATTTGCTTCATCATATGCATTTCATACAAAAGATTTACTTTTTATTACCAAATTATAACGTGTATAATTAAATAATTTAATAAAAAATGAAATTAACTGGGAGTATTTCATTCAGGAATAGTTGGTTGTTTAAACGTGTTTAGAATTAAAAGATGATATATTAAAA